GGTAAAGTAAAGATTACATATATATATATATGTATATATATATGTATATATACCCATAAACTGTTTTTGACCTTAATTTAAAAACATAGCATTAGACAAAGATCAAATCTTTTGCCAAATTAATCAATCAATCAAACCAAACACAAATTAATATTAATCAGACGAACTTTTTTCTTTGGAGGCCAAATCTTATTTCCCAAACAAGATGGTGGAAAAGGCCAAAACTGTTGGGTTGAATGAGATGTTTAAAAAGTGAAACACTCCAATACCCATATCATTTTCAATAGCTTAAGAAAGAGAGAGGTCTTTTTGGTTTTTTTCGGGGGGATTAGGGTTAGCTCCAAAGTTAAAGGTGCAATCAATATGTATTTGTGTAGAGTTTGTAATTTTTTAACATGTAATCTTTTTATATATATATATAATTTGATATTATAGATTTAAAAACTATTTTGTAAAAAATGTTCATCATGTTCAACTTTTACTTTACTTGCGATTATATATAAATTTTATTGTATTTAAAAAATATATACTTTAGTTAGCATTAAATTCAAAGATAAAGGTGCAATCAGTATGCAGTCACGTAGACTTTTTAAATGTAACACCCCGAGTCTATGAATTAGGCTCGAAATGTTGAAATTTAATATTTTTTTTTCTAATAATAAAAATACACGAGTTTAATTTATATTTATATTTATTATTATTATTATTTTTGATAAATATGCATTTTGGACCATTTTAAAACACTATTAGAAAATTCGGAGCCAATATGTAAATAAAAAAGGGTTTGCCTGAAAGAAATTTGAAAAAACAGGGTCACTCTGTAAATTAAAAGAGTTGGGCCACGTAGGACGATTACATCAGCAGCACGGCGAGTCAGAACGTGACACGTGGCAGACACGCTGACACATGCAATCCGCGCACTAGGGTGATCAAACGACTTGTGTCCATTCCTGTGCGTACGAATGACCCAGATTAATTTTTTGAATAGGTCCCGATCAAACGGCTCCTGACACCCCGCGCAAATCCTGATAGACAACTCAGATTGATTTCTTAAATAGGCACGATCAGACGGCTCACATGCCTCGACGTCTCCTATAATGGACGGTTGAGATCGATTGAAGAGAGGTATTTAAACCTCTCTTCCATCGAAACCCTACCTCTAATCGACACCCAAAGCCAAAGAAGAAGAAGACAGGCAGTCGAAAGGAGACACAACTGCCTTATGAATGCTAGCGCCACTGTGCCAGAACGTCGGCATCATCGTGTTGGAACGCCAACATCATCGTGTCGGAATGCCGAAAACACTTCAGTAAGCCAAAAAATTCTTCATGTTCTTCTTATTTATCCGCTCTTAGTCGTCTAACGTATTTTTGACGCAGGATAATTGAGAACAACCGCAAAACACAAGTAGAGAATGATAGAGTTCGGCTGAGCCACCACACCGGATGACCGAAATTGCCGGTAAGCACCTGTTTTTTTTCCTCCCTTCGCCGAGAGATACCCCTTAACTATGATTTAAATAGATTTTCATTAAAGATCGACCAAAACTGTTCTAACTGAGAGGAGGAACCGCTGAAGAAGGTGGACTAGGCTTGTCGATGGAGTCATTAATCGGTCAGTCCATGCTTGCATAATTGTGTTAATGACTTATTTAGTCATTTTATTGTGTTTATTTATTTATTTTATTTTATTTTAACCTATTTCAATTTATTTATCTTAATCTTTATTTTTCGTTCATCTATTTTGTGCACAATACATTTCGGTCAATATGATGTATATTTATTTATTTCATTCACGTATTTTAAAATATAAATTTCATATTATTGTCTTGCTTAGGGATGTGGGTATACATGTCATTTGGGGTTAAATAGTAAATGAAAAAAATAATATACGTGAACTAATGTGATTGGATGAAAATAACTTACTGAGTATCATGGGTAAGAGTGTACAGACTTGATGCATAGGGTGAATCCTACCATGGATGTTACCCTCAACCGTACGGGGCTGGAAAGTCTCATACCGGAAAGGATTGATAGTCTATAAGTATCGCTCATATCGGATGGGGTATTGAAACGATTGTTTATTGTGGCATCCATTACTGGACGAGATATGAGAATAGCCGTTTAGTTACAAAAAAATGTTTGTATCCACGTGTAGTGGAGATTTCTATGGACCCCCAGCGATATTGATAAAAAAATATAAAACGATAGTGTAGAGATGAACATGATAAGAAATCTGACTTGGGAAAGATGAGGGTTCAAATATTGTATGTCTGTTGAAATGTATACAGTTAAATTGTGATTCTAATTTTTATTTTTAATGAACGGTATTTGAGAAGTTACATGTGTCGAGAAAATGTTAACGTTTTCAGTGAAACGAATAATGAATGCGAT